AAATTGCAAACCAGAGGGCAGCCTGGCTGAGAGATGCACTTGGCTGGCATTGGCGTATGGTGGTACCTCGGGTTAAGTACTTAATTCGTTCCGGAGGTCCATTCTTAACCTGAAACTGTTCTTAACCTGAAGCACCACTTTAGCTAATGGGGCCTCCTGCTGCTGCTGCTGTGCCGCCGGAGCCCGATTTCTGTTCTCATCCTGAAGCAAAGTTCTTAACCCAAGGTACTATTTCTGGGTTAGCGGAGTCTGTAACCTGAAGCATATGTAATCCGAGGTACCACTGTATTGATATGGAAAACCTGCCAAGCCTTCGGCTGCTGCGGTCCTCTCGTATGTGCAAAAGGCAAGGGACCCCAGCTCAGTGGCAGATCATGAGCTTTGCATGCAAAGGGTCTCAGGTTTGATCCCTGGAGCACCCAGTTTTTGAAAAGGGCACAGGTAGCAAAAAAGCCATTTCTGCCATAGATCTGGGGAAGGTCCTGTCAAGCAGAGGGATGCCCATATTTTTCTGTGTATAAGATGCACCCATGTATAAGACGCCCCCTATTTTGGGGTACTCCAAATTAAGAAAATGGGGGAAGATTGACCAGAGGGGATTGCTGAAAGTTGCTCACACACCAGAACTACACTACTATCGCCCACCCAATTGACGCAGCGACAGCCAACCAACACAAACCCTTGCTGCAGCAACAAATAACACACCCAATAGCCACTGAGAATCTCCGGCTCGCAGCAGCAACCAATCACACATCTCCCCAATGCACTACCTGTGTATAAGATGCCCCCCAGTTTTAAACATTATTTTTAAACTAATCTGGTCTTATACAGTCCTACCTCTGCTTACATATCCCTCCACTTATGTAAACTTTGGGATACGTAAGTGGCAAACCCGGATGTATATTTCTGGGTTTTTGCCACACATGCATGCGCAGAAGCGCTCAACCATCGCATGCGCAGAAGCGGTCCCTCTGGTTATGGAAATATCGGGATCCAACCAGAGCTCCGGAATGGATCCCGTTCACAATCAGAGGCACCACTGTACACAGAAGAAGAGAAGAGTTTGGATTTGATATCCCGCTTTATCACTACCCGAAGGAGTCTCAAAGCAGCCAACATTCTCCTTTCCCTTCCTCCCCCACAACAAACACTCTGTGAGGTGAGTGAGGCTGAGAGACTTCAGAGAAGTGTGACTAGCCCAAGGTCAGCCAGCAGCTGCATGTAGAGGAGCGGAGACGCGAACCTGGTTCACCAGATTATGAGTCTACCACTCTTAACCACTACACCACACTGGCTCTCTACTTTTCTCACGGAAAAGTACAATAATTCCGGGCTCCCATTGACATTGCATAAGCTTTTCATATACATTGCTTTTCACTGCCAACGTCCCACTCTCCCCAAAGTGATCCTCAATTGTGATTTGTACCCAGGCCACAAGATACCTTGTGCAAATACACATACGTTAGTGCCTTCCATTCATTTACTTTAATCTCGCTCTCTAAATGCTGGAGGATGATTTGGTGACACGTTCTCTGTCTTGCACCTTTTAAATCAGCCTCGGCTCTGGAATCTGGGACACCCCCCTCCACCAGCTCTTCTGCATGCGCAGGGCGCCTCTTTTGAGCTCCCCGACCTGTGCTTTTGCAGAGTTATCCTTACATCGCCTGTGTGTTGCTCAAAAATAAATCTCATTCATCAGCCTTGACATTACTGCCCCCCAACACTACTAAAGCCTGACCCAGCGCGATGTACTGAATGGAAAGATAAAGTAAAAGATCTGTAAACAGCAGCATAAAGCATCTTTATTATTTAGTGAGATGCTTTTTACGAGGCACATTTGCAGTCTCCGCGTCAGCTTGATCCAAGAGTTTCAAAATAAACAAAGAAAGTGCGATCGCTTCTTATCCGTGACATAAGGGCAGCGGCTTTAAAGGTATTAGAAACATAGAATTTTAGAGCTCAGAAGGACAGGGCAGGAACTAAAATTTGAGACTCAGTCACATCATCCCAGGGCTTTATTTACACTAAAGCCAAATCACTGTCCTTTTTAAAAAAACAAAAACAAAAAAAAACCCTTGATGTTTTAAAGGACTATGTTTTTGGCCAGCAGGGGCTCTGCCAATAGTTTTTAGTGGGTTGGGTTTAAAAACCTGGTTTGCTTGTTTTAATTATTTGAGTTAGGAGTGGGGAATCTGGGGCCCTCTAAATGTTGTTGGGGACGCGGGTGGCGCTGTGGGTTAAACCACAGAGCCTAGGACTTGCTAATCAGAAGGTCGGCGGTTCGAATCCCCGTGACAGGGTGAGCTCCCGTTGCTCGGTCCCTGCTCCTGCCAACCTAGCAGTTCGAAAGCACGTCAAAGTGCAAGTAGATAAATAGGTACCGCTCTGGCGGGAAGGTAAATGGCGTTTCCGTGTGCTGCTCTGGTTTACCAGAAGCGGCTTAGTCATGCTGGCCACATGACCCAGAAGCTGTACGCCGGCTCCCTCGGCCTATAAAGCGAGGTGAGTGCCGCAACCCCAGAGTCGGTCATGTTGTTGGACTCCATTTACTGCCAGCTCCAACCAGCATGACTAGAACTATAATCTAGCAACACCTAGAGGGTTACAGGTTCCTCATCCTTGTCTGAAGGCAGCTAGAATAATCAATTTTGAGTTTGCTTTGAACATCCTGCTTTTCAAACATGGCTTGTAGGATTGTGAAATGTTACAGAAGAGTGCTTGAAGATGGGAGCTCTCTGCTCCTTTCAGTTTCCAGTGTTCATTGCGCTCCTTCCTTTAAAATAAGAAAAACTCTGGTGCATCGAAAGGAAAAGTACATTTGGAAAAGTTTTGGGGATTTGCATTCAGCTTCTCCATCTAGGTTTATTAAAGCCATACAGGTCTTTGTAGCTGCTAGCTTTTCATCGCTCCCCAACAATGGAAGTGTGGCAGAGAATCCCAAGAGATTTTTCCACCCTGACATCACATTCAGTGCTGGCTTTCAGCATTCCCCCAGTGACTTATTCTTCCTGAATTCAATAGTTCTGCGTTTATGTTAATTCTTCTTCCAGGAAAAAAAAGATGGCGGATGGGCTTTCTTTTTAGTCTTAAAGTCAATGACCTCCAAACTGGTATATGTATTTGGCTCAGTTTAGCTGAAATGCTTCCTTCTCAACCGTTACATCAGAGTTCATAAGTGAAAATCAGTGAATGTTGATGAGATTAGTGGTGGGTCCCTATTAAGCTACCTATGAAGAGTTTCATTAAAAGAATCACATAATTTGCCTCAGTGGGGAGCATGGATTTTAATTTGTAGCGAAAAATAACTGTATGCAGATAGTTTTCACATTGGCCACAGTAGGTGTTTTTCTTGATGTGGAAACTCTTCTCATTGACTAGAATATTTGTACTTTAGATGGGCTTCTCTTATGAAACCTACCTGATCCCCAGAAAAAGGTACCCATCCACCTGATTTACGGGTAGAACCAGAGATCTATGGGTATAGGGCAGTATACAAATTATTATTATTATTATTATTTATTATTATTATTATTATTATTACCTACACAAGTAGTGTTTAGAGCATCTCATTTGTCAATTATGGTTCCCCCCCCCCAGTTTGTCAAATATGGCTCTCCAGGTAGCTCAGTTGATAGAGCTTGAGATTCAATCACAGAGTCATGGGTTCAAGCCGCAGGTCTGCCAATTTCCCTGCATTGCAGGGGGTTGGACTAGATGACCCTCACGGTCCCTTCCAAGTCTACAATTCTGTGGTTCTGTGGGCAATGGCGTAGCGTGGGGGTGCAGGGGGGGCCAGCCGCACCGGGCGCAACATCTGGGGTTAGGGCAAATCCACAGATTAGGGGCGCAAATCCACGGGTTAGGGGGCGCAAATCCACGGGTTAGGGGGCGCAAATTACTTGCCTTGCCCCGGGTGCTGACAACCCACACTACGCCACTGTCTGTGGGAACGCCTTCTTTTAGATCAGGGCTGGGGATCCTGTGGCCCTCCAGATGTTGTTGGACTCTTAACTCCCATCATCCTCGGCCAGTATGGGCCATGGTCAGGGATGATGGGATTTGCAGTTTGAGAGGGCTACAGGTTCCCTCGGGGACTCACTTTCACGTATAAAGATAGATGGAAGACCTTTAGGACGGTAGAAGAAGCAGGAAGTTTCTGGAGGAAGTACTGGAAAGATCTAGGTAGAGAGAGACTTCAAGAGCTAGAAGAGACAAGACAGGAATAAAGTGGAAAAGTTTGTTTTATACTTAATTCTTGAATGTGGTAAGGTAACGTGAATACAATAAATCTGTATGTCACTAAAGTGTATCTCATGCAATGTAAGTGGGTTGAATAGTAAACTCAAAAAATGAAGATAGTAAATTGAAGGAGTTAACTGCATTAGAAAGATGATCTTGGAGAACTGTTACAAAGATGTCACAATGAAATTCAGTTAGGGGGGATTAGAGGAAGTCAGATAACAATGAAAGTTAATTTGGATTTTAGAAGTATTAAGTGTTTTTTATTTTTCTTTCTTTTTTCTTCTAGTATTGTAATGTGTTTCGTTTTGAGTCTTTTATATGTTATATTTGTTATAAATGTGGAAAATTAATAAATTTTTAAAAAAAATCTCAAAAGAAACAAAATAGAACACGTGTTAAGGAGAAAAAAATGGGATATTATATGTCTACAAGAGACTCATGTCTCCAGTAATCACACAAGAGTTTTACAAAATGGGAAATTAGGAATAGAACTTATTGCATCAGCGACGGAAAAGAAAAGGGGGGTGGCAATCTACACAAAACCTAGTTTGGACCCGAAGTTGTTGTTCAAAGATGAGGGAGGAAGGAAGAACTATAGGGGTGGAGATTAAATTTGATAACAGAGGGCCACAGGTTCCTCACCTGCCCACCTTCAATCCCTGAATTATAGAGATAGCACTGGCCTGCTGATTGACTTCTCTTTCCATTTGCGGAGATAATATTTCAGTGATGTTTCCCCCCTCCGGGTTATTCCACAGGAAACAAGAAGAGCGAGTACAGCAGGTACGGAAAAAGCTGGAGGAGGCGCTAATGGCAGACATCTTGTCGCGAGCTGCAGATACAGCTGACTTGGACGAGGTTGAGATGGACGATGGCGAAGAAGCATAAGAGGCAAAAGCATCAGGTACAGCCACAGGTTCCTTGTGGAGCGACAACGCCGCGTGTTGGAGTGTCTCCCTTAGTTACTGTGATTGCTGCTTTGCTGTTCAGCATGAAAAGCCTGCAATTTGTGAAGTGCTTCACAGAGCACAGAAGTGGCCCGGCTCTCCTCTCCAGGCCTGCCAAGCTGATTGGCTAAAGGTGAAGAGACAGAATAGATCTTGATGAAAGGCGCCAGGCAAGGGCCATTCTCAGCAGCAGAGCCCCTGCGTTTGCATGCAAAAGGTTCAGTTCCTAGCGCCTCCAGCTAGGGCAGCAAATGTTGAGTTGGTGAAAGGCAGCTTCCTATGCCCCTGTGTCCTTCCCAAGGCCTTCAAGGTAGTCCCTTCTTCTTAAATGTTTGATTTAAACTACATTCTGAATGGGATGCGGGTGGCACTGTGGTCTAAACCACAGAGCCTAGGGCATGCTGATCAGAAGGTCGGTGGTTCGAATCCCCGCGATGGGGTGAGCTCCCGTTGCTCAGTCCCTGCTCATGCCAACCTAGCAGTTCAGAAGCACGTCAAAGTGCAAGTAGATAAATAGGTACCACTCCGGTGGGAAGGTAAATGGCATTTCCGTGCAGTGCTCTGATTCACCAGAAGCGGCTTAATCATGAACTGGAAGCTGTACGCTTGCTCCCTCGGCCAATAAAACGAGATGAGCGCCGCAACCCCAGAGTCGTCCACAACTGGACCTGTTGGTCAGGGGTCCCTTTACCTTTACCTTTTTTACATTCTGAATAGATACAGTGGTCGCTGTCTTGCCCTCCCCTGTTGTTGTTTTTTAAACAAGGAAGATTTCTCCATAATTGAATACCTCAACATGGTGGTGTGTATATAGCATGAGTGGGAAGCATACAGTACAGTCTTGACCCACTAGGGAGCCCAGTGGCCCAAAAGGGTATTTTCCACAAACCATGCCATCAGCTATATGGCCATCATGTTTTATAGCTGGTTCACGCAAGAGCTGCTGAAAAAGCCTCCTTGTGTTCAGAAGCCTCCAGGTGGCAGTAGCTGTCGCGGCTTCTAATAGTTCCTGTAGCCCACTGTGGAGGCCCTCTTTCAACACGTCCTTAGTGTATCCCATCTGCTCAACCTCAGGCAGTGCTTCATTTCTTGCAGCAGAGGTGAACAAGGAAGCTGCAGTGTCTCCTGGTACTTTTTCTTTGCTGTAAGTAGTTGTTGGAGGGTGAGTGTCCGGCAGCTCAATTCTATGTATTATCCAGAAGTTAGCTCCATTGACTGTACTGGGGCTTACTGGCTGGTATTTGGATACTGAGTGTGACAGTGTAGCTGGATATTGAGTGTACTTGTGAGTAAGCAGCCCTGAGTGAAGAGTAGAATATGTCTCTTCCCGGGAACCTGTAGCATCTGTCAGGACCAATAAAACTGCTACAGGCAATTTGAGGCTTCTGATTATGTGGAAGCTTTGTTCTAGAGCTCCTGTGGTATAGATCTTCACCGTTAGAATAAAAGATGTCTAACCATTGTCATTCTTCTCTCTCCATCTCCCTCTTCCTCTCTCTCTCTCTCTCTCTCTCTCTCTCTCTCTCACCTGTTTCATACCCATTCCCTACATTCTACATACAGGTACTTAAAACAGAATTATCCCCAGAAGAAATTCCTGGAAGCTGAAGGCGCTTTTTTTGTGTTTTGTTTTCCATTGGTCTTTTATGAAAAGAAGAAAAGGACCTGTGCACATTTATATAGCTTTCTAATAGCATTAAAAACCAATGCCTTTTTTGGGCTCTTTTTTATGTATATATCTTGGGGGGGGGGGCAGGAGGAAACAGAGAGACCAAGAAAGAAAAAGGAAAACCCACTTTTAAAAAGTTTGTGTCTTAACGACTTCAAAAGTCTTGTTTTTTATTTTTATTTTTTTGTTACGTCAGACAATTCCCTAAACCCAAAGCTGAGCTTTCAACGCTAGGCTGCAATCTGGAACTGTATGACTAGCACTAAATATTTAGGGTCCCCCCCCCTTCTTCTCTCTCTCTCTCTCCTCCTTTTGTGTGGATGTATGTGTGGTGGTAAGAATGGATCAGGCAAACGGAATGTTCGCTCCCGATTTAAAAAGAAAGAAAGAAGTCTATTGTGACATCTGTTGTACATATATTGTATAAAAGATTTTTTTTATATACCGGAGTTGAGTGGAAACATCTGTAAATTGACCCATCGCCACCCCTTCTCTAAAAGAGAAATAAATAATTATATTCGGAGCAACTAAATTTGTAGACTGTGATGCACTATAATTAAGTGGAAATTATAGGCACCCGTGCCCAGATCGCCAGATGGATCGGTGGGCAGAGGAATAAGGGCGTTAAGTGAGTGGACTGTATCCAAGACACCCGGGTTCAAGTCAGTGACTTTGATTTGCACTTCTTAAGGGCCCAAATGGGGATTTGGCATCCCCAGCCGAGGCAACTATCCTAAATTCAGCGGGAACTGGATGAGCACTGTGATGCGAGTATGAATGCACACACCTGCCGAGTGTGTGCGGATCAGCCTCAGTTCTCCATTTGTGAAATGGGAATGACTGACCTACCTCACAGGGTTGTTGTGAGGATGAACCTAATAAAGATTGTAAAGCACTTTTCAAATGAAATGTTTTGCGCAAATGTTGTAGCAGTCGGTCAGTGCAAGGAGAGAAAAAGTCAGTAGTGGTATTGGCAAGGGTGGGTGGGAGGCCATGACTTGGTGGGAGTGGGGTGCTTGCTGCTTTTGTGGACCAGATGTGGGGAACCTGTGGTCCTCCATGAAGTGATGGACATGAGGCAGGAGTTGATAATGCAGGTGAGCTGCGCACAGGTGGGCTGCATGCGAGCTGCTGGCCAGCCCTGTGGAGCCTCCTTTTATTGAGACAAATATGCAAACCAGGCAGATACATTTTGGGCTGTGACCTTTACACATCTTCCGGTCCCGGGATTGTGGGGTGGTACAAAGTTATTTTGGCACCTGTTTCCACCGCGTCATTTCCCCCTTGCACAGTGTATGACGAAGGAGACAAAAGGTCTCAGAGACAAAGGTTACAGACAGGACACCGCAGACTACTGAGACCGCAAAAGGTTAGACAGACGCAATGATGTTCAGACAGCCGTGGCTTTGGGGGGGGGGCTGCCCCGCACCCCAAGGTCACGCGTGCAGGCAGGCTGTGGCTGCCTGCGGGTGGGGAGTGTGCTCCCTCCGGACCCCCACTCCGCAATCATCCCTACACTCCAGATGTTGCTGGACTACAGATCCCATCACCCCTAGCCATTGGCTAATGCCAGCTGAGGCTGATGGGAGTGGCAGTCCAACAGCGTCTGGAGGTCTCCATTTTCTCCATCCCTGGTGTCGTGGTTGGAGCAGTGTGCTTGACAAATTTGACCCTCATGAACTCTGACCTGAAGTGCTCTAATCTGCACCTTCAGGGCTGTTGTATGGCTCAAAACTGAGCTATCGGTTGCTGCATTTGTCAGAAAGCTGTGACACATTGCTCAAAATATGCATTTTCCAACGCTGAAAGAAAATATAGTTAGAATGCTATTTTGAGAGATAACACATTTGGGAACATGTACTTAAATGTATGTTCTCTTGCAGGTTTTGGGGTTTTTTAAATTGTGGATCAGTGTGGAAATGGATCAGAGCAGACTTCGGAGTGAACATGTAGGAAAGCAGCGCACACCCCAAATAGGCTGATGAACACGTTCAGAGCAGGCTGTTCATTGCCCTATCCTGATGCCTGCCCTCTATTCACGACGTTGTATTGTGTTCCCCTACAAAATGCTGCCCTGGGGTCTCCACCAATTACAATCAAGCTTGTTGATAGCTAAAATGAGAGGAATACTGATTGCGGAAAGCCAGTCCACAGGAAGACATCCATCTAGCAGAGTCCGAATCTGACGAGCCTTTCAAGGCTTCTGGTAGCAGGGAAGATAATGCTTGTTGCATGGTGATTTTTCATAAAAGTCGCCCCATAGACACCGTAGTGAATAGAATCTAGTGGCTTTATAATAATGTGCATTGAACTTCTGCAGCTGGAGCCATTTATCTTGGACTTTGCCGTTTCCAGTAGTCTCTCCTGGCCTAAGTTGTTTCCAAATAAACCATTGATCACGGGACTCCTCAAAGCCTTGCAAAGCAACCTGCTCTGTGGGTTTGCCTCCCTTGATACTGATGGGTAATTTATTCTTGTTACAAGACGGAATTGGAAGCCTGTTAAACATGCATTGAACAGTGACATTAAACTCGGGATCTGTCTACTTTTGCAGAGGAATGGATGGCTGTGATGCAGAGAAATGGTCTGCTATGACAGCCTGCAGTTTTCAATTAATGAAAAGCCTGTTAAATCTGAATTAATTAATTGGACAGCATGTTTTTCTTAAAAAAAATAAAATAAAAATACATTAAAATCTAGATGGGAAGCGCCATTTGAAAATAGGCACCCCCTCTTTCAATCGCTTAGGGAGAATGCCTCTTCTTTGCATGTGTGATGGTACCAAGTTGTCTAAAAACAAAGGGAACATTTCTTCAGAACTACTATCAGCAATTCATCCATAGATGAAAACGTCTTCAATCAAGTTGCAGCCCTAATGTATTATTAGGGTGCAGACTGCCGCGGCGAGACTCCTTACGGGGTCCTCGTCGCAGGATCACATTCACCTGGTGCTATACCAGCTGCCCTGGCTCCCGGTGGAGTACAGGATCAAGTTTAAGGTGCTGGTTTTAACTTTGAAGCCCTATACGGCCTAGGACCCTCGTACCTACGGGAACACCTCTCCTGGTATGTCCCACGGAGGACCTTACGGTCTTCAAACAAAAACACCTTGGAGGTCCCGGGCCACAGGGAGGTTAGGCTGGCCTCGACCAGAGCCAAGGCTTTTTCGGTTGTGGCCCTGATCTGGTGGAACACTCTGTCACAAGAGACTAGGGCCCTGTGGGACTTGACATCTTTCCGCAGGGCCTGCAAGACAGAGCTGTTCCACCAGGCCTTTGGCCAAGGCACAGTCTGAACCCCTTCCTTCTGCAATCCTCACAGAAATCTAGCCAAATGGTTGCCATTAATTTGATATATATATATATTCCACCTTTTCCTCCAAGGAGCTCAAGGTGGCGTTGATGGTTCTCCCCCCCCCCATTTAATTCCCACAACAACCCTGCAAAAGAGGAGGCTGAGAAGAGCTATGAAGGAACCCAAAGGTCATCTAGTCCAACCCCTTGCAATACAGGAATCTCAGCTAAAGCATCCAAGATAGATGGCTAACCAACCTCTGCTTAAAAAAACAAGGAATCTCCTTCCTTGTTACCTGAAGCCATGGGTTCAAGTCCTACCCTCAGAAAGCTAACTCTTGGAAGTACTATAGGAGTTGCCTTCCTGAGAGTACTTACCTGAAAGTAAGTACTGCCCTTGCCCACAAAGGAGCCCAGGGCGCCAAAGAGAAAGTAGCAAAGCAGATCAATTAAAACTACCGTATTTTAAACTGCCACGTATGCTCACGGTGGAGAATAATTTCAAGGTTGCTAGGAACAGCATCTTTCAGCCACCAGGTGCCCACAGTGCATTTTGTACCAGCCAGTTTTGGGATCAAGTGCAAGGAAAGCCCCACAAGGACTGCACTGCAGTAATCCAACCTTGAAATTATTAAGTAAGGGACTCCTGCGAATCAGGGCAGAGTCCAACAGCACAATCCCCATCCACTCCCCTCCCCTGCCATGTATGTTGAAAGGAACCTTAATGATTGCATCAAACTGCAGTGCTTTGACAGCCCTGAATTTCAGCCCTTTGCCACAGTTGCTACTTTAGCAGATAAGGCTGCTTCCTGTCTTGTATATATCTATTTAGCAACTGGATTTCCAGCCCACCGGCTTTTTTAAATTATCCTATATGAAGCTGACAGTTGATTCAGGATGGGCAAAATGTTGTATTCGCACGTCGTGCACTGGATTTATGAAACTTGCTGCCGCGAACTGTGGCAAATGGACATAGGCTTAGGTGGCTTTGAAAGGGGATTAGACAAATCCATAGAGACCTGTCAATGGCTGTTAACCATGCTGCATATATGGATCCTTCGGGGTCAGAGGTGGAGTATATGCCACTGGATATCGGCTGCTAGGGAACAATGGGAAAAGGTAGTGGTTGCCTTTGCAACATGCTTGCTAGTTTGCTGGAGACCTCTTCTTGACTGCTAGGTGCTGCACCAAATATGACATTTGATTGCATCCCCAAGCTGCTTTTCTCTTAAGGGAGAGCTTGAGTCTCACCCTTTGGTGACCCGTCCAATAGCAAAGGTATAAGGCTCTCCAAAAGGGACACGGGTGGCACTGTGGGTTAAACCACAGAGCTTAGGACTTGCTGATCAGAAGGTCGGCAGTTCGAATCCCCGCGACAGGGTGGGCTCCCGTTGCTTGGTCCCTGCTCCAACCCACCTAGCAGTTCGAAAGCACATCAAAGTGCAAGTAGATAAATAGGTACCGCTCCGGTGGGAAGGTAAACAGTGTTTCCGTGTGCTGCTCTGGTTCACCAGAAGCAGTTTAGTCATGCTGGCCACATGACCTGGAAGCTGTACGCCGGCTCCCTCGGCCAATAAAGCGAGATGAGCGCCGCAACCCCAGAATCGGCCACAACTGAACCTAATGGTCAGGGGTCCCTTTACCTTAAGGCTCTCCAAAGGTGGGGAAATGTTGCATCCTGCACAATTATGGACGGCTCTCTGCAGTCATAAACGGAGGTTACATGTTTCGCCAGTGCTTCCATCGCTTTATATTGGTGCTGTAAACAATGAATTTTGAGTAAAGATCCCCCCCCAAGAGAGAGAGAGAGATCATAATGCTGTGCTGAAACTCTTGACTTACCTCTCATGATTCCTGTGCCCTCAGTCAGACCAGTGAAGATTGACTAGGAAGGATTACCATCCATATGGGGAAAATAATATTTGAGTCATTTTTGCTACCAGATTTAATATTGTAATACATGCATGGATACCAAAGTGGTAAGTGCATAATGTTTGTATGCTTGCATTTGTGATGTGGTCTTAGTGTACGGGCTGTTTATCTGGCCGCAAGATGAAAAGCAAAGTCAAGAGGGTCAAATCACTCCAAAATGCTTGGGAGTTGTTTTGAAACACAATCTTAGAAGCTCAACTGAAGTGTGTACAGCAGATCGGGAGAAGTCCCACCGGAGTCAAGAGAATGTCAGCATCATCCTCTAACAGCAGAATCAAAGAAGCTATTAGAGGAAGGAAGACTTCCTTCACAAATAAAATAAAATAAGTCTGGTCCAAATAAGGACAAAAAGGAACTCCAGCTTCGGCAAAATGAATGCAAACAGTCAGTAAGAGATTCTTAAAAAAGAATTTGTGGAGTACGTCAAAGTAACAATAACGATAACCAACAACAATGTTCAAATTCATTAGTAGCAGAAGAACAGTTAGGGTGGCTATTGGGCCCTTGGATGACAAGGGAGACAAAGGAGCGATAACCAAGCATATAGAACAAGGCTTGCTGAAGCAAAACCAGCATGGTTAAGTCCTGTCTCAGTTGGTTTGGGATAGCTCAGTTTCGGTAGAGCACGAGATCGCAGGGTTGTGGGTTTGAGCTCCACATGGGCAAAAGATTCCTGCATTCCAG